AAATACTTTTAAAACACATACTTGCTACTATCAATATAAAATGCTAAAAATTTGTGAACTCACCAATAATATGTTGACGTTTTCAAAACCACATGTATTCTCAGGAAATTAAAAGATAGAAACAACAAACATTTGGGAGTAACATTCATGGATTCACTGGAAGCCTTATTATTGTTGTTCGATTATTTAAGACACTAATTGTATTTGAATTCTCTGGTACTTGTAAAACTTCTTACGATGTAATATCTATTTATAATGAAAGAAATATTTATGTTATATTTTATGTATATTGTTCAGTGTAATCAATATATGTGAACCCTAATGAAGACGTCGCACAACCCGGTATTTCTACTGCCGGTTGGGGATCTGACATGTGGTCTTTCTTACAAATGACATTGGCCAAATCATGGTCTTTCATGCAACTTCCACGAGACAAATCGTGGTCTTTGATGCAATCATAGAGACAACAACATATCTTGACACATAGTGTCCTACAATATAGTGAGAAGATTCACCTTATAGATAAAACAGACAGTCACCACAACTCGCAGGAAAAGTGAAGGCTGGTACTACAACCATCTAAAATTAATACAAAAGGTCAACCCTCAGTATATGACCTATAACCCTAATTTTATGACCTAAAGTCAAACTTAGCTAACAAGTCAACAATTAATTCTTTCTCTCGGACCACCGTATCGTGATTAGACCCTAGCCATGCCGTGGTCCAGCTCAGACAGAAGTCGTGATGAATCTACCCACCGCATTGCGGTCAGCACTTAACTACGTCATGGCCTAGCTCGCAGATTCAACCCTTAAGTCATTTAAGACTAATCCTTATACTTTATAGGAAGCTTCATGGCACCATAATGGTCCATACAAATCATAACTTTATGGTCATGCATCTCCAATGCACGTCCTTCACCAATCTAGGTCAAAATGGTGAAAATAGGATCAAAACCCCATGCATGACATCAAACAAGTGAGTACGTCCAGATCTGGAACATATGGAACTCTTGGGACCCTAGGGAGTGATAAATTTGCAAACTTTATCATTTCTAATCTATTAGTAATACTCAATATGAAGAAACTTGCTTACTTTCTAGATCTACAAGAGATGAAACATAAATATCAGATCTTAAAGGCTTACAAGGGTCCGAAAAATGCACAAAGAGATTGTGGTGAGCTTGCTTTGATGCTTCCTTGCTTCCCAAAGCTTCCTTCCTTCCTTTAATGAGTGAAAAAACTCAAGAATGGATCAAAAAGCACAAGAGATGGGATTAGGGTTTAGGTAGGGGCTCTCTGAAGTGATGAAGGCTAAGGATGGACAAAACCCTAGCCTCACATCCTTTAAATAGGGCACAAAGCCCGAGATCTAGGGCTTTGAACCTTATCCGCCACCGTGCCGTGGTGAGGGAATGACTACACTGACGTCATTAAATGACGTGTCCCACGCCCTACCGCATCGTGGCGATGAGAAATCCTCAAATCGCAACACTGAAAATCATAACACTTATACCTGAAATTCAGATGTTACATCACTAGTACGCGTCATACTAATATAGTATCTACTTAATGTAACTTTTAACAAACAATCATATAAGAAAGACCAACATCACAAACTATCCTCATTTGGAGCTTATAATATACGAATTTCTGATATCCAAATACCAAGTGTGGGATTTCAATTGATTACTCTTGTTACAAAGAATACAACGAAAAAATTTCAACTCAAACGGACTTCGTATGTGAAGTTTATGAATGATCAAAGTTAGTTTTTTCATATTTTTTTTACAGAATACCCTACTTTGGAGCTAAAAATGACTTCACAACATGCAACTTAAGAGTGTAACATATCCATGGATAGACCATGTTAAAAAAACAATGAAAATAAATTCAACTCAAACACAAATTGTATAAAAGAATTACGAAGTTTCAAAGTTCGAATATAACTGTATTTTCGCAACCTACCTTTTCGCAGTCCACGTCGGTTTTTTCAGGCCACATATATTTTTGCAAATGGCGGCCTGCGAAAATTATAGCTATTTTGGCTATTTTTTATTTTTTTGTTATTTCGTGGAAAAATATTGGAAAAATGGTTATTATAGTCATTTTCTTTTTATTTAATTCATAATTTACCACACAAAATATGAAAAACATGATAAATACGATAACAACATATTAATATTGTTTCAATTTCATATTGAATTTTGAAAACAAACACAACATGACATAATGTCATGATTTTTACACTTTTTACAAACATGATTTAAAAATTTAACTTTGTCTCGGTTTAGTTTTATTTTGTATCGTCCATTGATTGCCACCTCTAATTAGGGGTGTTTAAAAATATCCGGATCCAAAAATCCGCCCAGAAAATATTAAAATCCGATCCAAAATTATCTGGTTTTTCGGTTACTGGGATTCGGATATGGATAGTCATTTCAGAAACAAAGTCGAGTTTGGATAGTCATTTAAAAAAATTAAGATATTTCTGTTATCTGAAATCCAAAAATTTTAATTTTAAAATATTTTGTTTATTATTTGAAAGAGAAAATGATCATAACAGCCATTTTTTCTAAAGTTTTTGAACAAAATAGCAAAAATTCATAAAAATAACCATAATCATTATAATTTTCGCAGGTCACTGTCTAAGAAAATCTGTATGACCTTAGGAAAATTTTATTTTTTATTTTTTGAGATTTTGCAGGTAACCACCTCTAGTTGGTCAATACCTCCGAAAATCTAGGTAGCTTGTCATATATATATATATATATATATATATATATATATATATATATATATATATATATATATATATATATATATATATATATATATGGGAAAATACCGCCAATAGACAAAAAATGTGGGTGAATTTCAAAATTTGATCAAAAAAATCGACTTTTCCAGTTATAGTCATGCATTCCGCGGAGGGTCCTCCGCGGATCGAAGATTCCTCTGCGGATAGGGCTATTTTTGTCATTTCACCATCTTCTCTTTCACAAAATCGAACATTCCTCTTTGGTCCCCCCCTTGTCCCCCGGAATCCTCTTTGACAAACACATTCCTCCTCATCGACGATTCCGGCGACAACGACGTGAAACGACGTCATTTTCCGGCGACATACGACTTCAATTTCGACTTACGACTTCAATTCCGGCGACATACGAGTTCAATTTCGGCAGTTATGGAGGGCAATTTCCCCGATATTTTGGCCGACGGATTTGGCTCCCGGGTATTTCTCACCATCATTTCTTTGGATTAATGTAGTTTATGTATGATATTTGTCGAAACCGATTTGATTAAATGGAAAATATAGGTAAAATAGACAGATTTATATGAAATCGCCGTTGACAGGTTTCCGATTGGGCATGATCCATTCCGCGGAGGTGTACGTCACTCTGCGGAGGGTTTCGTCAGTCCGAAGAGGACCCTCCGCGGAGTGATGTAATTCCTCCACGAAAAGGATAAATTAGACCTTCGCGGAGACTACAGGTCAATCCGCAGAGGGTTCTCCGCGGAATCACCTGTAGTCTCCGCGGAATGACCTGAAACTAATTTTTTCTTATTATTATTTTTTTGCTGTTTTTTCTGACTTTTTATATGAAATTAAATGTTATGTGTTGCAGCACGAAGATCTCAATCAAAAAGCGGATTTAACTTTAAAAGGTGTGGTGGGTACTATCATTAAAGACTATTTTCCGCGCCTAACACAATCATAACGACAATTAATCGAAGCTTCGCCGTTCGGAGTATTCCTAGGAATGCATATCCCACATGGTGATCCGTTACTTGTGCATTTGATGATGTTGCACGAAGTAAGGTGTCAACAAGTATTTGAAATGGGGAGGTTTCTTTTTTATATAGAAGGGAGGCATTTGGATTTTGGTGAAACTGAATATATTCTCATTTGTGGTTTAAAAGTTAGTCCTTATGTGGATTTACTCCATGACGAAAAAGGCCGGTCAGATTCAAATCTTCGTGCTCGGTTGTTCCCAGACATTTCTGATGCACGTTTGCGGTTGAAAGATTTGGAAGACTTCATTATGTCTCCGAATTATTTGGCAGTTCAAGATGAAGATGTTGTGATGCTTATCCAGCTTGTTTTTATGTTGAATGGGACTCCACGGACAGGACGTTAAAATGTGCATTCCTGCTGCAGTATACAAGCTTGCTGATAATAGCGATGATTGAAACATGTATTACATTTACATATTGTGTATAAATACAATACAATAATAATAAATTGAAAATTTCTGGTTTGCATGGGATGCGTATTTTTGGACCTATACTTCGCAGATGATGCGTGGAATGTTTAAGAAAATAGAAGAATTTAGACTATTGAAGCAGGCCAATCCCGAAGCCAAGAAAGTACACAAGTATACCGTTCCCGGTTTTATGCTTCCGTTTAAGGTTAGTTTCTAATACATTTAAATAGTTATCATAGTTTTGTTTTTATATGATAAAAACATTGAACTTCGGTTTGTAGTATAAAATATCGTTCTATTATGATTTTTATACTATAATATCATGATACTTACATTTTTTTTCTATAGATATGGATTTTGGAGACGTTCCCCGAGGCAACCAATTTTTATATACGCACGCCGACAGAATTGCCGCGGATGAGGTCGTGGAGAAGTAAACCACCGTTATCTTGGGATAACTGTCGTCGAATAATCAACGTGTATGTGGTATGCTTTTATATTAAGGATTATTTATACTTACAAATTCCAATGTATTTTCATTATAAACTAACAATTTGATTTTAATTTTTCCAGCCTAACAACAAACCTATTCGAGTCGTGGCAGACGCGACAGAGCTGATGTTGCCGTTTTATGTTCGCTACGTCAATTGGACTCTTAACCATGAAGAGTCTCCCCCACGACAACATAGTCTGGTCCGAAATAGTCCACCTGTTGTTGCCTCGCCTCCCCCACGGCAAGATAGTCCGGTCCGAAATAGTCAACCTGTTGTTGCCTCGCCTCCTCGAAGAAAGATGTACAAGTCGGAAACATGTTCGACTGAATCTGCCACAGATGCTTCTTCCTCGCAACATCTTGAAATAGAAAGAACTTATACGTCAAGCGACACATCAACGAAGGTGGTAAAGAAGAAGAAGACTAGCATAAAGGCATTAGTGAAGCGTCTACTAGGCGTTCTGGCTGACTTATCTTCTAAAGTAGATCGTGTATTATAGAAAAAAGATGAGCCAAACATACGTTTTGTAGAGGAGTAGGAGGAGGAGGAGGAGATGATAAATGAAGATGAGGAAGAAGCATATTACCATGGTACACAGTTCGAATATGGTGGTCTTGAGGGGGAAGTTGGGCGTACACCTACGCATGGTGAGCCGTCATCGGGAGTGGGGGAACATCACTAAAAACAGTGACTCCTATTGGTAGGCCGCAACGAAAGAGGGTTGTTGCATGGTATCAGCGGACTCCGTTCACAGTGGTACAAAACTCATATTTTAAATTTGGTATATTTATAAAATATTACATTATTGAAAATGATTTAACATGTTAATTTTTTAGATGCAATCGACACCAAAAGTGAAAAAAATCAGCAAAACAAGGAAGAAAAAAATAGTGGAGAGTCCTGAAAAAGCAAATGAGGACATTGTCAATGCAGAGACTAGTGATGTTTCAAACCATCTCTTGTTGGACAGTATTTATGCTGCTAGTATGATGAGTTTTTGGATAGAATGGAGTATGATCTCTTCCAAACTCATCACTAAACACAGGCTGCATATGCTCCCACTGGATATAGATTTTTGGTCGAGGTTACTTGCTGTTACTCACCAAGGGTGGTTAATTTCTTCGGTAACATTCATTTAATTAAAATTTTAACTACTTTTTTAGACGAGAATTTATATAAATAATTCTTAAATTTTTAATTTTAAATGTACAACATATTGCGATATGGAGTTCCTTGCTGATGGAAAGGCGGCCGGCGAACGCAAGGTGGACGATATTGCCTCAAGAAATCAATTTGGAACCCGGAAAATCATTTTTATTAGGAATATAGCAAATGGGCTTGGAGGTCGTCCTAAATGGAAGGATGTGAATATGGTTAGTTAAGTTTAATAATTATTAATTTATATATATAATATTACTGAAATTACTACTATTTAATTTAATTTTTTTTTGCAGGTTCTATTTGTAATAAATGTTGTTGATGCCCATTGGTTTATGGCGGTGGTACATTTAGATACCTGGAAAGTAGATATTTATGATTCAGCACGACCTATGAATTACTTCTCAAAGTACTTAACTGGTGGAGAATTCAAAAGTTTTGGAGATAGTATTATCTTAGAGTTACATGTCATTGAGTACTGGAACGATTTTCCCGTTGGATACAAAGACAAAGCAAAGGTGGAGTTTATTGATGTTGTAGACGTGCCACAACAAGAATATAGTCTTGATAGAGGGGATTGTGGAGTATTTGTATGCATGTTTATGGAAATGATTGTTTCGGGGGTACCAGTGAAGATTTCTACGACACGTAGAGATGCGGGATTTCTCTACAGACATAAGATGACAAATATTATTTGGGATACTATATAGGCCCTACTATATAAGTTGATATTAGGAACTTTGTATATATATATATATATATATATATATATATATATATATATATATATATATATATTAATATTAAATATTTGGGATACTATATAGGCCCTACTATATAAGTTGTTTTGTTTAATATAAATATGTGTTTTTATCCTATATTTTTTGAAACATAATTCACCAACATATATTACGATACATTTAAACAAAATAAACATTAGAAATAACATAATAACATTACACTTAACATTACAAATAAAAGATGAACAGCTAACAAAAATTACATAAAACATTACGAATAAAAGAGTCGTCTACATGAAAAATGGTTTATTTTTAACCAGATTCCAAACGTCTGTATACTCGAAATCAGTTTCATCAAACTGGCACAGGTAATATCCGTTCACGTATTCAAGAAGTTCGTCATCGTCAGCATCAAAGCATCGCATTTTCTCAAAATTGTAGCATCGATTGAACCATGTGACTTTTGTCTTTAAATCCATCCATTTACTAACAATATCGGGTTTTAGTCGTTCTTGTCCTTGACCCATCTTATAGTTGAACAAAGCTACTAAGCAGGACGCTTCATCACCAACAAGGCAATTAAGGTGAGCCATTACCGGTAGACCCTCGTAAATGATAATCCAACATCGTGTTAGGACCAACACCTCTGTTGTCGTCCATGGAGATGTACCATTTTTTGGAGCAGCCGCATTAGAGGGATTAGCTGCATTTGAAGAAGTTGGTACATTGGATGCCATTTTGTGAAATGATCCCTTACTTCTAAATCGGACGTATAGACACATGCTTTACTATATATAAAAAGATAGGTAACGCGCCATGACAAACAGCTATGCGGACTGACAAGTCAGTAACGCAGACTGCCGAATAGCTATGCGGACAGCTATGCGGACTGACAAGCCAGTAACACGGACTGACGAACAGCTATGCGGACTGACAAGTCAGTAACGCGGACTGACGAATAGATATGCGGACTGACAAACAGCTCTGTGGACTGACTAAGAGTTCTGCGGACTGACAAACATTATTGCAGACTGACAAAAAGCTCTGCGGACTGACAACAGCTCTCTACGGAGTGGAAGGGACTATATATAGTCATGGATGGTCGTTGGATTTTTGGTATAGAGTTATACATTTTTTTTAAATTTAAAATGAGTTCATTTTGAAGTTTGTATATTTGCTCGTGCAACGAAGTTGATTGTTTCTATTGTGATCCGATCGACCCTTTTCTTGCCCCATCACCAAATTTAAGAGAGCCGTATATGTCTGAGGATACTTTGCAACAACTACAATGGGCTGAAGAACAAAAAAAAAGATAAAGACTCATCTCGAGCTCTCTCTGAACGTCGTGACCTCATTGCGGCGGAGTGCAAAGAGGTTGAGGAAAGGATGACGATTACTAAAAAAAATCAAAGATCATGAGGAATGGATAAAAAAACTAAGAAGAATATCAAACTGTCTGAAAAATGGGTTGCTGACAAGGATGCAGAAATGATAGAACTTGGGAGGCAAAAGGACCGTATGGAAGATAAAATAAGAATGAGGGACGACTACATAACAATGGAGAAAGAAAAGTATCCGTTGCAATTCCCTTAAGTTAATTACTGTTGTTGTACGTTTACTATATGTTTCTGGTTTGTTGAATGTATTATCTTCGAGTTTTAGTTATTATTCTACTAGTAATGATGCACTAATATAATCATAATATTACCCATCATCTTAAAAATAAACACACCATTTCAAAGTACACAAATTAATGTCCTCTAAAACAAAACATAATTAATTATAAATACAACATCAATCATTCAAATCAAACACTGAACAATAGTCTTCTCTATGCGTCCCACTCGTCCAACGCGTCTCTTGTGTCCCGTGCGTCTCTAGCGTCTCCTGAGTCCCTTGTGTCCCTTTCCCTTTCCCTTTTGTGTTACTACCTGATGCCGCACTATTTTTTCTAGCCTTTTTTTGATTCATTGGGACCAATGCCGGACAATTCGTTGCATTATGTGTTGTACTATCACATCTACTACACCTTCTTACTATAGGTTCCTCACCTTGTGATGGGATACAATTTCTGTTTCTCGGTCTACCAGCTTGACGTGTATCCATTATCGGGGGTTTAACAACCATCATCTCAGCAGGAATCTCCCAATCACATGGTTCTGGAAGTGGATAAACAAGCTCCTCATACGTACTTCGGTAAGTTTCCATTTTGTAAGCATCTATAGCCAGATGTCCGAAGTTAGTTTTTTTCAAGTGCTTTAAGACCATTATGACATGACCACAAGGCAACCCAGTTCCTTCCCAATATTTGCATGTACAAGTCTCTTGCCTCAGATCAACTATGCCACCATGTTTGAAATCATGCACTTCATAGATTGCATCTGAAACACCAGAAGCGGACCATCCTGTCGTACGCTATTCATTTTTACTAACTACTTTTTTAGCCCACTCGGTCAGCACTATTGAACGTTTCCCTGTAAAGAATATATATATAATTAACTTATTATTCGAGATAATTAAAGTCCAAATTAGATTCATACATCCATCGATGCGACGCTTGTTACACCATTCCTATGAAAGACGACGGAAGAACTCAAGAAGAGGTATTATAGGCATCTTCCTTGCATCTACAGATAAAGCGTTCATGGACTCTGCACTGTTCGAGGTCATGTAATCGTACCATTTCGGCGGGGAATATGCTCTAGTCCATTTAGCACGTGGAATTTCACTTAGATACGCCGCTACTTGCGGTCTAGTAGAACTAAATCTAGACCACAATTCTTCAAAAACATTTCTTTTGTAAGCTGTCACAAGCCTCCAAAACAACATTTTTGTTTTATCATTTTTCCCAAACATGCGTACTATATTTCCTAGTAGATGAAAAGCACACACGCCATGATGAGCATGAGGAAAAACATTTTCAATACTAACCCGAATTGCATCGGCCCTATCACTTACAAAAGTCAATTCTTGACAATCACCAACACATTCATACAACTTTTCAAGAAACCATGTCCAAGTAAGACTACTCTTTTTTTTGCCTATTCTGTGCGCAAGGGGCACTATCTGGTTGTTCCCATCCATAGCTACTGCATGCAATATGGTTCCCTTAAAATCACCCTTCAAATGGGCACCATCCATAATTATAACTTTACGACAAAAACGTTTGAATGCTCGTATCTGCAATATATTAAAATGGAACAAATAAACACTCTACAATTTTTTACAAATAATTATATATTAAATAACAACAAGTTTTTTGTATTTACCGTGCTCCCAATGGCATAAAAACAAGACTCAAAACAATCTTCAGAATCTGTTTGTATATAGGCCACTGTACTGGGATTATGCATCTTCAAATTGTGAAAATAGATAGGAAGTTTGGAAAACATTCTTCACCGGATCCCAACAACAATTCCATAGCATATTGTTTTGCACGCCAAGCTTGTTTGTAATTTACATTGATTTCCAGCAAAGCATTCAAATCCCTTGATATTTTATTAGACCTCTAAACCTTGGAACGAGTTTTTCCCATAATCTCATGCAATATAGTACCCATGACTTTTTTATTAGCATGCTTATGATTAGGGTGTATCTGTAATGACAAACATGTGTGCACGTTGTTGAAAGTCCTGATTTCAAATTCATCAGTGGGATGAATGCGTTTTGCATATAAACGCCAACTACAGTTCTCAATTTCACAATATACCTCATAACGATTTTTGTTAGAATTTTTGGTCTTAAACCGAACCTTTTCTCTGGTTGCTTTAAGACTCAAAGCAAATATTAGTTGTTGTTTGCTATCATACGTTTGACAAACAAACATATCATCATTTGGACCTAAACTGTGAAATGGTCCGGGTTCAACAATAGGATCAGGACAATCAGGTATGGGAGGCATACCGTAAAATATGTCTGAACCTTTTTTCCCGTGTGTGAAATCATCTTCTGACCAGCCTTCATTTGACTCTTCACCGTCTGACAAAGTTTTGTCAGCCAGTCTTCCAAACTCATATAAATTTTCTTCTTCCACTGTATTCACTGCCACAGTTTCTTCTTCTGGACACTCTTCAACATTATCAGATACAATGTTTTCAATGTTTTCAAAATTGTATGGTACAATCTTGTCAACCGCTTCTGTCTGTTCGACCCATCCCTCAAACACCTCCAAATACAAATGAACAATCTCCTTCGTTTCAGAAATTACATTTCTGAGTTGATGAACATCTGCTTCATCTACA